CCTGTATGTCACATCTTGGCGTCTATGACAATTATTTCCATAACACTTTCTATTTGTATTGTGACATGTGGTGGCATCAATGTCTGCATTTGATACAGATAATGGAGCAGTTGCTTTAGTGCCACAGTGTAGGCCTATATCCCTTAAGGTCAAATAATGAGATCCTCGACCTCCGCCCCCCCCCCCCCTCTCTCGCACCTCCACACAGAGCCCCCCCCACGTATCAAATCCCAACCTAACCCCTGCTTCTAACTAATTAGGCTACCTTAAATAAACTCACTAATTAATGAAACCAGTTCAATACGCATTATTCTTATTCTTATCATTATGAGCGCAGCCAGTAACGGTATGGTATCTAATGACTTATTTAGGCTATTTAGTATTCCGTAACTTAATAACATAGATGGTCAAACTAAAGTGGTAGAGACATGGCAGAAATTCTACAATGAAGCGGGACAGTGAAGTATTCACCCATGAGAGGGCGATCAAGAAAAGAGAGCGAGCGGCCCCGTTGAAGGAGTTTACAGATGAAAAGACACACAATCACAACAAGTAGCTATATTTAGGTGTTTTTTTGTAAATAACGGTATCAAGAGGAAGTAAAGTCCCCTGGTTTGTCCCTTATACCCTAACTGCCATGAGACAACTCAAAATCAAGTTTCCAAAATCCGGCGCTGACAAAGTGTGTTTCCCGCAGCGAGACGCTCCAATACTAATTGTGGGCTTATCATGGTGATTCGGCCACAACAGAAAACATAAAAATAAACTCTCGCCCTCTCCAGAGGGGCAGGTCAGCCAAAGAGGCCAAACGGGCCGTTGCCCTGGCAACATTAGCCCGTACCTGTGCACGTCCCTGCACCTATCAATCATCAAACCGTGGGGTCTTATTTCATTACGTGTTGATTTCTATCAACACGTGTATCGATGTATATAGAGATGTACTACAGCAAAAGTATTCTCCGTCGGGACTTCCTGGAACAACACCATGCCGTTATCTTGATTCTGATTGGCCAGAAGACATTATCAAAGATGTTCTATTGAGAAGACGATCACTACCTCACAAACGTTTTCAAAACCGTTTCTAGTCTTCGGTATTCTTGTTTTTGGCGTGAGAATAGTTTGGGCAGCGTGAGAGCGTGAGATTGAGAGTGAAAGCGTGTGTCACACGCAGAGTTGGGTGTAACGCGTTACAAAGTAACTTAAATCAGTCATAATCAAATTGTTTATTTATATCACACACGTGGTCTGTTCTTCTTCTCTGTTTTCCGGTTGTTGCCTGTTTTGAATGACCAATACACATTACCGCCGCTTGCTGGTAAGGAGAGTTATTGCCACTCACGCATGCGCAGTTTGTACGTGCTCGGCTGAAGTCTTTGCGGTGTCTGGTTCCAGTGCAACACATGGCCAACACGCAGGAGAACACGCCGATGCAACAGCGTGAGCAGAGATAGACAAAATATACAGATAGCAGGAGACAGAGGACAGCCATGGTCAGATAGGAAAACATTCAGGAGCAATCTGGATCAGTCTTATGCGACAATGGAAACTGAACTAAAGAGAACATTTGAAACTTTAGCAGTCTGCGTGATCTGCCTGCAGGGAGGGGCGGGCCGGCCCTGCGAGTAAAGTAACGAGTTACTTTGTGTAGAGAGTAACGAAGTAGTGTAATATATTACTTTTTTTTAAGTAATATGTAATATGTAATATATTACTTTTTTTTAGTAACGACCCCATCTCTGGTCACACGCCAGATGCGTGAGAGTTGGCAACCCTGCTAAAAGGCACAATCACCACGAACACGGCTAAAGGGTCAAGTACAGTAACTACAACTAACTAACGTTGTAGCCTCTATGGTTGTAGCCTAGCAGAGTGGACAAGTTGCTGTTAGCTGACAGTGAGGCATGTAAATGTCCATCAAAGTGACCACGCTCTAATTTATGCAAAAGCTTTAAGGCTTAATATTAATTAAACAGATGAGTTGAGAAAAAATTCACCCCCCACCAGGGTGGGAATTTCACGACGGCCACGACGGCCATGGCCACTTTGGCCGTGATGCCCTATGAAAAAAAATGCAATTCACGGCCAAAGTGGCCTTTGTGCCCCTGTCAAAAGTTCCAGTGTAAACAATGCTAGTGAAGTCATACTAGTGCGTGCAGTAGGATAGTCCCGTGTGTGTGGATCAGAGCGATTGCTCTGATGTGATTGTTCCGTCAGACATGCCTGTAGGGGCCCGACAGCCTCCTCCTCAGCCGCGGGAGCAAGACAAGCACAGGTAAGCAAGCGGACCAAGCTGTTTTGATATGATTTAACTGAAGTATGTGGTAGTATTTGAAAGGACTTAAAGGTGGGGTAGGTAAGTTTCAGAAACCGGCTCGAGATCGCTAGAATTTGAAAATACACAACCGGAGAAAATCTGCCACTTCCTTACAGAGCCCCTCCTCCAACACACACGAACGCGCACATGACCAATGAGGGCACGAGATAAATGTGTGCCCCGATGGAAGGCTGACAAGCAGGTAGGCCATCCAGTCCGTTTCGCGCGCACCGGTTACGTGTATTGTTGTTGTTAGCATCTGGTGCTAGCTAGCGGCGCTAATGGATATAATGAGCTGTCAACAAGGTGGAGGAGAGTGCTCTCCTGTCAGAGTGAGAGACTGATAACTACAGCTCAGGTGAGGTAAAGGACTCTCTGAGTGTTTAGATAGTTAACTTAGTCTGAGTTATCTCAGTGGGTCTCAAACGGTTTGGTCACCATTTATGTAAACACATATTTCCATTTGAAGGGGGAGTGATTAGTAAAATATGCATGAATAATAATTAAAACAAATGTAACTAGGTGAAAAAAGGTAAGATAAACTTCAAAAACTTGTTGAGAGCTAAAACTAGTCTTTGCTGCTGCCTCAAAGAGGAGCAGGGGGAGAGGGGGGAGACGAGTGAGGCTGATTCAGGAGCCCAGACACACTCACAACTATAAATGAACCAAAAACAAATAAATAAACAAGTTTCAATATTTTTTCATATTGGATATGGTATGTTATTGGTTATGGCCATGTTCTTATGATTATTTAAATGTATACAGTTCTGTTTCATATGGGTGGAGTTGAGGTCCAAACCTCCACTTAACATATGTTCACATGGATAGGTTCCTAAATAGATTTGCACTTTTTTTTTTAAATAGTAACCCATGTCCATATGTTTATTCTGGGGAGTAGATTTAAAGTTTAGGGCTATCACTATGGGCAGCAACGCTGTAAATATTGACAAATAAATCCAGGAAAATGGCACAAAAGAAAACTGGTAGTGGCCTGGCTGGGTGTATAATTCCCGGCCTGACTTATTGTCCCAGTCCGGCCCTGGCTGAACTTAACGTATACGTTTAAGAAACACTATTGCTATTCAGCCATTTGTAAAACGACTGGTGTTGACGTTAGTGCTACACTTTTCAGTCATGTTGATTGACCAGCGTAATTTAACCAAACGGCCTTTGTGCCCTGTCATGTGGCCTTTGTGCCCTTAAAAAAAATGTGAACGGGAAGGCCAAATGGCCTTGCCCCTAAAATGACGAAATTCCAAGCCTGCCCCCCACACAGTAGTCATGAAGGGGGAATCTAACTATACAGAGAATATGGTTTTTTGAACCACGATGTAAACATGTTTATTTCTGCTGTAAAGTTGGGCATTTTAACATGGGGGTCTATGGAAATTGCTCCCTTCTGCAGCCTGCTCCTACTGGCCACTAGATGAACTGAAGTGTGTGGCACTTCCGTATTGGCGTACCGGCTCTTCCCCAGAGTTTGCCGCTTGGGCTGAACCTGAACTTTGAATTCTCTGCTCCCATCATAATCTTGGCGATCTTGTTAAAATTGTGAATGCAGAATTAAAAATACTATGTAACTGGTTTGCAGTTAATAAATTATCCCTTAATGTGGCCAAAACAAATTACATGTTATTCAATACAAAGTCTGAGAGTAGAAATGACTGCATTATACGGATTTGCAATACAGAGATTGAAAAAGTTTGTGCATGTAGATTTTTAGGACTGCCTGTTGACAAAAAACTCATTTGGAAGCACCATATAAATTATGTGCAGACTAAACTGTCAAAAACAATAGGTATTTTGTATCATACTAAGAACATTCTTGAAGAAAAATACTCTTTATAACAGTCTATTTCTCCCTTACCTTTAATACTGCTCCGAAATATGGGGAAACACGTACTCAACAAATCTACAAAGAATAATAACATCCCAAAAAAAAGTATTACGAATAGAGTTGAGTAAAGTTAGAACGATATTGGCAGATTCGGATTTCACGGATCAATAACTCATGAACAAAACGTTATTCACACACAAATGATGTCTCCTATGTACCGTGGTAAGGTTGACAACGAACTACAATCATATGTTGATAAAAAAAAAACAATATGAGCCGTCCTCCGAGCTGGACACATTAAATTGGTCTCTTTCAGCAGCCGGAGATGAAACAAGTGCTCAGGGACCGTCTGCAAAGTGCAACTCCGAAAAAAGAAAATACAATAATATTCAATAACGTCACTATTATACAGTATATTTCTACCAAACTCACTACACACATCAATAGTCTCCTGGTGGTCAGACTACAGCAAAGAGTTTGGAAGAATGTGCTTTTGAATAATTTTGGTGAATATTTATAGTGTAAATTCTTCAATAAATATGGTACAATCTTCAATAGCGTCACTATTATACAGTATATGTCTCCCAAACTCACTACACACATCAATAGTCTCCTGGTGGTTGGACTACAGCAGAGAGTTTGGAAGAATCTGCTTTGGAATAATTTTGGGGAAGATTTATAATGTATTATAACATACTGTATATACAATGTTACACATTGTATATAGGCTACAGTATGTTATATATAAATTAAGACATGAAACAACTTTTTCATTAGCTATGAAACAGTAAAATGGTCACAATCTTATGAACGATCCAAATGCAGCACTCGAGAAACCAAACCAAGGAGTATTGGTAATGAACTTTATTTGTAATAATACCAGAGCAGAGGGATAACAGAACAGTATCAGCCGGATGATGGGCAGGCAAACGAACCAGAGGACAGCGGGCAGAAGGTGAGTCAGGGCCGGGCAGAGGGTCAGGGAGCAGGCGAGGCGGTCAACGGAGGTACAGGCAGGATCAGGGATCAGGCAGAGCAGGCAGAGCAGGCAGGTCGGGGACAGGCAGGGTCGGAACCGGGTAGGCAATCTAGTAACACACGCGTGAAAGACTAGCATGAAGGCAAAGTACGATCTGGCAACGGGTGTGTGTCTGGTGAGGGTTTAAATACTGGTAGTAAAGCTAATGGGTGCAGAAGAGAAAGACAGTGAGCAAAAACGTGGGTGTGGTTAACAGGTGAGACAGGTGAATGGAAAACTACTGGTGAATGATGGAACAGACAAAATAAAGTTAACATTGAAAAATAAAAAATGTCAGGCTTTTCACCTACTGTACAATATTAATGAACAAATCCACAATCTAATGTCAGACATGGAAAACATCATGAACATCTGTGACTACTTTAATCTGTAATTGAAAATATATTTAACATCTTAATTAAGAATATAACAAGTTAAAACTATGGACAGGTGATTATTATGTCACGATCTGTCTTTATGGTGTTTTGTCTTGTCTAGATCTATCTTTGGTTTTCTGTCTGCGTTGTGTTTTGTCCTATTTAGATCTGTCTGTGGTTCCCGGTCGTTAGTTTCCCTGGTGTGTCTGATTACCCGATTGTGTTCACCTGGTGTCCCTGTGTTTTCTCCTCCCTCCTCACCTGTGTCTTGTTTGTGTGATTAGTCTTGTGTGTATTTAAGTTCTGGTTTTTCTGTCTGTCTTTGTCGTTTTGTCTTGTGTCATGACTAGTTCGTCGGTCAGTGTTCTGTTTTGTCTTTGTTTATATCCTAGCCTTGAAATAAAGGAATTTTCACGTTAATCTGCATTTGGGTCCTACCTGCTTCACACACCGTAACATATTAATCATTACTTCAGTTGCCCAAAATCTTTAGCAAAGCTTTTTTCTGGATTTTTATTTGTTTTGTACAAAATTCAGCTTTCATTTAGCCGATTTCAAATCACTGGCTGGGCTGGATTTCCCCCCACATGCCGTTTGTAAGTGCACTACTTCTACTGTGGTAGTAGTTCAAACTACAAGCCTTACCTCCCCAAATCCTGGTACCTCTGGTAAAAGTTACACAAACTCACCTCTAGCCTCTTTAGTTTGTGAGGATACACAAAACACAATACCACGGGGTATTCTTTTTGGGTATTCGTGCAGCAGGCACTCCGAGGCACTGCGTGTGAAACCATCTCCCACAAGTTTCACACTGAATCTACATGGGGACAAATACAACAAAGATATTAAGAAAATGTAAAGTGTAGGACACTTGTAAAGCAGGCATATTCATTTATATTTTAAAGAGATTATACTTGTTTTTATATACAGTATATATAAATACTTGTTGTTATTCAGGTTTATCTGTACTGTGCTAAAACTTTAACAAATTATAAGAAAAACAAAAGGAAACCTGTAATGCATACAAATATACAAAATGTCATTACTTTGATGTTATTCCTGAAATCTAACTCCAGATGATCTATATATTATCTATTATTCAGATTATCTTCTGGAGTTTAAAAAAAAATCATCATGTCGTCTCACCCAAACAGCATCAACAGCAGTTCAACCCGGAGAGACGTGATGTAAGAATTACATATTTATTGTTTACACGTCATATGAATGAAATGATTGCCATGATAGTACAACAGGAGAATGTAATGGTGTTTGGCGATTAGGCCCCCGGTTTGCAGGATAATCATTCAGGAGGGAAAGCACCGCTCCGATGAAATCCCCGGGGTCTAGACACTGGTGGTGGTGATGAGTAGGTGAGACCAGTCTGAAGGAGGAAGGTTTAGCTTTGTCCTGAAGGAGACGGGAGGCGAGAGGGGTGGAGGCGGGTTGCGTGTGATCATCTGCAATGACAACTGACAGGGAGGAAGAGCAGGTATTTAAGGCATTTAGCATGTGCAGCGATTGGCTGCTGAGGCATGACGCCCTCATATTTAATGAGGGGGGAAGGGAGCCATAGAGTGACGTGTGAGTGACTCGAGTTAGGTCTTCCTTATTGAACTTGCGCTAAAGCTTTCATTTCAACCCGGAGAGACGTGATGTAAGAATTACATATTTATTGTTTACACGTCATATGAATGAAATGATTGCCATGATAGTACAACAGGAGAATGTAATGGTGTTTGGCGATTAGGCCCCCGGTTTGCAGGATAATCATTCAGGAGGGAAAGCACCGCTCCGATGAAATCCCCAAAACCAGTGAAGTATGAATACTGAGATGAACTGAGTTGCTTACCTTGTGGGGTGACTGGTGATCTGGGGAGGAGAGATAATAGATTAACACGTATATGAGCGACACTGTGCCGGAATCACTGCCGGAGCTTACTGGTCATGCTGAGACTCTGACTGCCGAAATCAGTGCCGGTCTTATCTGAAAACGACCTGCGGGTCGCATGCCTGGCCAGCAGGGCTTGACTACGCCGAGGAGCGAGCGGTTTCGTTTTGTAACGGTGGCCCAACGTCCACGACACCGAAGTGTACGGTAGCCTTCCGCTACGACACCGAAGTGTACGGTGGCCTTCCGCCACGCCTGACTTCGCAGGCTATATATATATATATATATATATATATATATATATATATTTCTCTTTATTCTTTTTCCTTTGTTTTGTAACTGACACCGAAGTGTACGGTAGCCTTCCGCTACGACACCGAAGTGTACGGTGGCCTTCCGCCACGCCTGACTTCGCAGGCTATATATATATATATATATATATATATATATATTTCTCTTTATTCTTTTTCCTTTGTTTTGTAACTGACACCGAAGTGTACGGTAGCCTTCCGCTACGACACCGAAGTGTACGGTGGCCTTCCGCCACGCCTGACTTCGCAGGCTATATATATATATATATATATTTTTCTTTATTTCTTTTTCCTTTGTTTTGTAACTGACACCGAAGTGTACGGTGGCCTTCCGCCACGCCTGACTTCGCAGGTTATATATATATATATATATATATATATATATATATATATCTTTTTTTCTTTACTCTTTGTTTTGTAACTGACACCGAAGTGTACGGTAGCCTTCCGCTACGACACCGAAGTGTACGGTGGCCTTCCGCCACGCCTGACTTCGCAGGCTATATATATATATATATATATATTTATTTTTTTTCTTTTTCCTTTGTTTTGTAACTGACACCGAAGTGTACGGTGGCCTTCCGCCACGCCTGACTTCGCAGGTTATATATATATATATATATATATATATATATATATATATATATATATATATATATATATATATATCTTTTTTTCTTTACTCTTTGTTTTGTAACTGACACCGAAGTGTACGGTAGCCTTCCGCTACGACACCGAAGTGTACGGTGGCCTTCTGCCACGCCTGACTTCGCAGGCTATATATATTTTTTTTTTTCTTTACTCTTCATTTCTTTTCCTTTGTTTTGTAACTGGCACCGAAGTGTACGGTGGCCTTCCGCCACGCCTGACTTCGCAGGCTATATATATATATATATATATCTTTACTCTTTCTTTATTTCCTTTGTTTTGTAACTGACACCGGAGTGTACGGTGGCCCGAGTCCACGTGGACTGCAGGAAATACATTTTACACTGATGCGTTTGAGCAAGGCCTGGGAATGAAATACCTGTGTGCCGGAGATGAAGCCCATTACCTGTAGTTGCGGCGTGAGACGAGACATTATTCCCTGTGGGCGGGGCCCGCGGAATTAGGACAGGAATGCAGTTTTGAATATCGGGAACCTTAGTGAGACATGTATACTTGTGAATGTGTTTGAGCCACCACCAGTTATATGTATAACTACCATAGTTAGGGTCTGAGAGATCTTTGGGAAGCCCGTACGGCGCTGATGTCCGGACGAATGAAGGTTGTGAAGGCGGAGGAGGACCACCGTCCTAGTTGTTGTAGGGATGAGGTAGAGAGACCTTGATTAGCAGCAGAGGTGGCTGCACCTATCCTGAAGGAATGCCCGGGTATGATATGGGTGATAGGCTGGATTTAGTGAGAACTTGCTTGGGTAGAAATTGACGGGGCCATGACCCTGCGAACCACTCTCCCTGGAAGAAACCCCCCAAAACCCATGGATGGGCGGCATCCGTGAAGACCTCATTGAGTCAGAGGAACGCACGAGGCCATCGTAAATAAAGTAATTCCGTTCCAGTGGGCGAGCAGGAGGGACCAGAACCGAAGGTCTGAACGGCAGCCTTCGTCTAAGAAAACGCAGTCATGGAGGTTGTCGACCGCTGATGCTGCGTCCAGGAGGCGGGAGATGAACGAGCGCCCCTGGGGGATGACGTGCATGGCGAAGTTGAGGTGTCCGAGAAGGGAGAGCAACTGTTGTTTTGTGATAACTTGTTGCTCGCAGTATGACTTGGTGATGTCCTGGATGCGCTGCGATTTGTCGGAGGGGAGAGACGCCTTCATGTCTATGGAGTCGAGGATGATGCCTAAGAACTCTAAGCGTGTGACGGGACCTAACGTTTTCTCTTTGGAGAGAGGGACACCTCACTCCTGAAGCAGTGTTTAAGCTTGGCCAGTGAGATCCCTGAGCTGTCCTGTGGCGGGTTTATGGGGAGGAAGTCGTCCGGTAGGTGAAGGACGGAGGGGATTCTGACGATGTTCAGCAGGATCCAATGGAGCGCTTCCGAGAAGGAATTGAAGATGCAGGGGCTGCTTCTGCACCCGAAGGTCGTGCGAACGCGAAGATAGAGTTTGGACTCCCACTTAATACCGAACAAGTTCCACTGAGACGGATGAATGGGGATGATTTGAAGGCATCGGTAATGTCCGCTTTGGAGAGCCGAGCTCCGTGCCCTGTGAACTTGATCATCTTTATTGCATTATCCACTGAGGCATGGTGAAGGGAGAACTGATCTGGAGGGATGATGCTATTGACGCTGCAGAATGGGCCGGAGCAGGGAGCGGACAGATCGAAAATCAGCCTTTTATTTACGTGTGGCTATTCCGATGGGATTTGAACGGAACACTGAGAAGGGGGAGGAGCTAAAAGGACCGATTATATATCCTTTGAGAAGTTCTTTGTCGATGAGCTGGGAAACTATGTTGGGTTCTTTAGCGGCTGACTGTAAGTTTCTTGCTACGAAAGTCACTGTGGGAGATGGGAGGACTCCTACCCTGAAGCCTTGGGAGAGCCCTGACGGGAGATAGTCAACGAACACGGAATCTGTAGATAGCGCAGCTGCTAGCTGAGGGATGTTAATGGGAGTGGAGGGGTGATATTCCAGAATGTTTTTTTTTTTTTTTTTTTTTTGTTATGTTTCTGGCGCAGAGCCACTGTGACGGCCCGTCCACACGGTGGCGTGCGTTACAGATTCCGACGCTTCTGCCCATTCACTTTGAATGGGGTGACGTCACTTTTAGTAGAACTGTATTTTGGGAAGCGACGTGGAGCGTTTGCTGGCGTTGCTCGCTTCAAAAAGTTGAGCAATGTTCAACTTTTGGCGCCTCGGCAGAAGCGTCAGCCAATGAAGTCCCGTTTATGCAAATCTGCCGGTACAAGCGCTAGCCAATCAGACCGCGTGTATGTTGGGAGAGACTACGCAGGTAATTCCTCATATTCCAAAAATGTGAGGGAAAATTCATTATAGCGGTAGTGAATCACCCGGTGCTGTATGATCAGTCTCTGTTCATCTACCGGGATACAAACCAGAGGAGCGAGGCATGGAGGGAGGAGGCAGGGACAGTGGGTGAAACTGGTAGGTTTTCGCCTGTTGGGGATTTTTTTTCCTTTCCAGTTTACTTGGTTTTAACATTGCTATTGCTTTGTGTGTCGGGGGCAAGAGATTCATGTGATTGGTTGTTGCTGCTGTGCGGACCGTAGCGTAGGCAGAAATTTACTTTAGGGTGGGCCTGTAAAAATATAGGGTGGGCCAGATTTTCTTCTGCGCATCGGAAACTAACCACGATCCCGCCGGTACCGGTGGCAGATTACTTTTAGAATACTTCCTTTCCTCTTCTTTTTCTTCTTTCCTCTTCTTTTTATCTTTTCTCCTTTTCCTCTTCTTTCTATCTTTTCCTTTCTTCTTTCTCTTTAGAATACTTTCTTTTCCATAACAGATGGGTATGTTTTGGTGAACGGGAGACACGTATTTTACTGTTTTAATGGCTTATGAAGAGCACGAACACAACATTTTAGTGTCATTCTTGACAGCTCTCTCATCTGCACCGTACATAAAAAGAAAAACTCACCCAGACTGCATTCTTTGTACTGTCTTAAAACCTTTCCTTGGAAAAGTGTATGCATTGTAAGGTGTCCTTGGGTGCTTTGAAAGGCGCCCCTAAATAGAATACATTATCGTTATTATTTATTATCTGAAACGATGTAATCACTTTTAAAACTTTTCCCAGTTACTTGCCCCATGCATTCGGCAGCAGCAGGCCATTCAGTTAGATTTGATCCCGTTATGAATGTCATAATTTCGACGATACATAAATGCTACATAAACGTTATCTTCCACGTTTTATCTAAACATCTCCGTTTCTACCTTCCAATATGTTTTGAAAGAGAACTCTCTCTCTCTCTCTCATCTGCGTGCGGGGCGGGGCCTCACGGACACGCTGCATCTCTCGCTCGCAGATACGCTGCATCGCTGTGCACACGGTTCTGCCGGTAATGAATATTACATTGTGAGGAAACTTTCCACCAATAATTCCAATAAGTATTCACTTCAGGTTTACGAAAGTAACTGCACTCAGTTTACTCGTTTTTTCAAATGTAACGCCAGCTGAATGTACTGATTTTTTTTTTTTTTTTCTTTCTTTTTCTTCCGATTACGTAACACCGTTACATGTATTCCGTTACGACCCAACCCTGTGTAAGGGTCGAGTGCAAACGTTTTCGTTAAAAACTAGTACCTGAGTGCAACGGAAGTTGAAGCTCCTGTGGCGGAGTCTTCCAGAGCCTGGAGGCGAGCATCGATAGCTATCATGGAGCTAGCCAGGGATTGCAGGGAGCCGGCCGCGCTACTCTCCATAGGGGTGTGTGACGCTCCCGGACTGGCGAGCCTGAGAAGGGGTGGATTTTTTGGAGGGGGACGGGATCCTGGAGGGCTCGACTTCCTGCCCTTTTTTTACCTCCGCGGCTGCGGCCTCGTCCTGCTCTCTGGGAAGCTGGCTGGAGCTGCTGCCCCGGACTGGGGAGCTACGCTGGAGACCTGGTCCGAGAGCTATCGCCGCTGAGAGAGAGTGAGGCCTGGGGCTGTGGGAAAGCCCTGCTGCAGGAGCCGGGCGATGAGGAAGTCTTCCTCTGTTGATAAGCCGCTGTGGGGAGCCGAACCGGGATCGGAGACTTCCAGAGAAGGTTCGTGTTCCGAATTGTCCGAGTTGGACATCTTGAGCTAGTTGTTTCTTACGGTTTTTCTCACGAGAAGCAGTATTGTATTGCAACTACCATTGCGTGTGATCATCTGCAATGACAACTGACAGGGAGGAAGAGCAGGTATTTAAGGCATTTAGCATGTGCAGCGATTGGCTGCTGAGGCATGACGCCCTCATATTTAATGAGGGGGGAAGGGAGCCATAGAGTGACGTGTGAGTGACTCGAGTTAGGTCTTCCTTATTGAACTTGCGCTAAAGCTTTCATTTGTGGGCAGGTCCTCAATCCCACAGAAGGAACAGAAGTCATCCTTTGAAACTGAACAAATAACCGGTGTATTACTGTTCAATTTACAGGAAGCCGTCCATATATTCATTTCATATTTGTGGCTAATACCTGATCCTCTGAGAATGTCTTCTGCCATGTCTCTTCGTAGATGTTGTGATGACTTGATGTGAAACGTCTTTGGAATTTTGGGAAATTCCTTCACTGTCATCTCGGCCATCTGGACAGATGGTAAAATAACATGACGTTATGACGTGTTTTTGAATTTCCCTTTAAAATAAAATGCTTTATTATTAATGAACACAACATGTTGCATTAAATCACCTGCATGACAAAGGCTCCACAACTGGTGGCATCTTTCTGGAAGGTGTGGGTTATTTTTCCAGGCTGCCATTTGATGCTAACCCAGTCCTCTTTTCCCAGTCTGTTCCGGCGCATCTTGAAATACTCTCTAGAACAAGAGGAAATAAAATGTAATTGGCGCTTACTCTTTGCCTTTACCAAATGTGCGTTTAACCAATGTATTTCCTGTAATATATTTTATATTACCCAAATTTGTAAGCAACCTTTCTGGAGTCCTCAACTTCATTTGACCCTTGCAGAGGATCAACCACATAAATGTGGTTTGAAAGGGCATGGAGGTACTGTTTTAAAAAGTAGCATACGGTATAATTAAACCAAACCTTTTTCAATATGTCAGCAGCAACAATAATGTATCAGCTTTTCTTCAAAAATGAAAACCACAGTTATTAAAATCACTTCAACTGTTAAAAAAGCTATTAAAAGTAATACTAAAATAATAACTACCCATTTTAAATGGGTATAATTAAGACTTAAAAGTATTGAAATAATTAAAGATATCAGATGAAAGAAAGTTGCACAATTTGGGGTCAGAAGACTCAAATCTTTAGCGGAGCAGTAGCGACCACCAATGAGAAATGTTTGAATGAGTACTTATTTTGGACTACATGTTATATGGTTTCCCTATGATATAGATGAACGTGAAGACATTAAAACTAAAAGAAGCATTTTTAAATCAGTCCTGAGGCAAAGATGCATTTACAAAATGGGGCTGCATGAGATACACATGTTAGTCTTAACTCTGTCACAGTATATGAGTAATGTATTGCAATATGTTTTAATAGCAATGTATATTTAGTTGTATGCATTTGAATAAATGTAATCATACATCTTCAAAGTAATAGTTGATGAACTTGAAATGTGCAAACTCTAAAAGCAGCTACAGTATGACTACACGAGTAGCTGTATACTCACCACAAACTTCCAGTGCACATTTCTTATATTGACAAATCCAATGGCTCCATCATAGAGATCAAATGTCACCTGAAAAAATTAGGGAACATGTAAACATAAGTGTTATTTTCTATAATATACAGGTGCAAAACAATAATTTAATTTACACAGTATTCATTTTTTATTTTTCTCAACAGGAACAAGAAAAAAAGGGAAGCTTAGATTATAAATGTATTGGTTAAAAACAAAACAAATGTCTCCAAAAACGACATACATATAATAACGCTGGAAGTTGCCTGTAGACACATATCTGTCTCCTTTCTCAAGCCTACAATACTAAAGGGATGAAAATACTTTGAATAATCAGTTTCACTCACCTTTTTTAGCTCTTGCCTGGCTATCTGCTCTCGGGTGCCGTGTAGGATTACACCCATGGTGTAGTGATCCAGGAGATATAGACGACCAGCATTATCCTTCAGGTTGAGGATGCCTCTAATGTAACATTCCATTACCTTTTGGATAAATTGTAGGGGAAATAGTCATACAAAATGCCAGGTAATATAGAGGCCAAAGTCGGTTTTAATCACATCATTGTCAGATCATTTTAGAATGGATAAATTAAAACTGGTCTATTTAAAGTCACACTCCAGGTGGACTGGCCTAACAATTTACTTGGATATCATTTACATACTTTTTGTCAACAATTGAATCATTAACATATGGCTTACGTGAGATGAGCAGTCCGGTACAGCATAAGTTTTAATAAATACTTGCCTCGCCTATGATGAGTTCGTCAGGTCTCAAACTCTGAAATTCTCTGTGCCTCAGGGTGAAATTATGCTTCTCTTCAGCATGTCTTACAACAGCCACAACAACTTCAGTTGGTTTGCATGTCCAAAGGGCATCAACCTAAAATGAAATGAACAATGGTATCATAATAACTTCGTACAGCATTCGAGATTTCGGCATTTAGATTTTCTACGTTTTCTATGACAGAAAGATTGCCTCATGCTAAAACGTTTTTAATGCATTCTTAACGTTGTTTTTATAGCTCGAAGAATTGCTTACTTTGTTACTCTTTTTAAAGCATACATTTTAATATAGCAAAACAATACCTCTGTTGCAGGCTTGGACCCTTTACTTGTGGGGTTGCTGCTGTTCTCCACATCTGTGCTGCTCTGAATATCTTCACCAGTGTTCAGAGTTAACTTTGCTCTTTTTGGAACTGGAAGAATGTCTGGAGTGGTGTAATATTTGGAGCTGGAAGTGCGAGGCTTTGCTCCATCTCTCTTTGCCCAACCTTCCTTCGATTGACTGATGTCTTTTGGTAGCAAAGTTTTGAGGAGTAACTGCTCAGATAAGTGATGTGCCATTATGTGTTCTCTGTACCTCCCCTGGAGAGAGCCATACATCTTTCTGATGAATGTCGCTGGCCTCAGTCGTCTCTGCTTTTTTAGAATAGAATGTTTGACTATTCCAAACCATCTCTCCACATGGCAGTTTGTGTCCCTTGTTTTACTTTGGCCAAATGTGTCTTCCTCTGTGTCAGTTGCATATCTTTTCAAATTCCCCAACAGCAGCCCACTCCAAAGGGGAAACATCCCTAGATAGTTGTCAAAAAGGACATCAACAATGCCAGGGCAAAAGTATGGATTTTCATCCTGTGGGGTTTCAACCTCCTCTTTTTCAAGCTCTCCCTGTACCTCCTCCATGACCTTCCTAAACTCATATGTGAAGGGAGATCTGCCAACAGCTGTGTGGGCATTTCTTCTTTCTTCATCATCTTCCTCCTGAGTTAAGGGACTGTCTCCTAACTTGTCCCCCTCTTCCATGTCGGGAATCCTGCATTCTTTTATGAAGTCCTTCATGGCTTTCAGATGGATCAGGACAGCATTGGAATTGTGCTTTCCAATCAACACAGTGCACAGTGAGCGGAAGATGTGTAGTGCTGTGGTCATTGAAGTAGCATTTTGCAACCTCGCAAATGCAAATGTTGCAAATTCCTTCAAACCCTTGTCTGCAGTCCTTCTCCCAATTGACTGAGCTACAGCTTTCAGCACGTGTGCAGAGCAAATGTGTAGCACTGTCAACATTTTGATTTCCTTCCATGACTTCAGCTTTGAACAGATAGCGAAAGCCCTGTCCAAGTAACTGACAATGCTCTCTTTGTTAAAAGAAAGGAGAACACTTTGGAGCAGGGCCCAGCTGTAGTCTGTTTCTACCTGATGTACTTTAGTTTGAGTGTACTGTGACAGTTTGCGGAGGAACTGCATTAGCCAGAATGTGATTGGTGGAATGGAGTGTTCATTTGTCAGCATTTCACAGACTGGGAGGGGAGGTACTTGCTGACCACCTCCAGGAAGAGTGAGGCAGTAATAAAGCACTCTTTTGGTCTGACCTGGGACTTTGGATGCAACATTACCTGTAGCATCTAGATATAGGGTCAGCGGTGTCTTCTTTCTCAGGTGTTGCACAACTATGTTTACTCCGGTTTCAGAATACATATGTACTCCAAATGGGTCAACTTGAAAATGCTGTATGCACCCAGGCATCCTGCGATCATTTGAGTCACATTCCTTAATGATCATTTGTGTGAGGTACATCTCCATGAAAACATCCTCATGGATTCTTTTACCTCTTCTTACTTCTGAACGTATCACTTTGAGAACATTTTTGTTCAGACTACGGCTTATGTTTCCTGAAATCAGTTCAGCAACAGGTGTTTTTTTAAGTTTACTGTAAAATACTTGACTCACTCCTTTATGCAGGGCTCTTGCAATTCTGCCTCTTCTTCTGTTTGCTGCTGGTCGGAATTTTGTCTCATTTGCTTTGTGTGCCATTTTCCCTCTTTGCAGCACAGATATAAGGGTGTCTCCCACTGGCTGATTTTGGATTTTAAAGAATAATTTGGCCCTGCAGGAAGGGAATGTACAAACTGCACAGATGTTTAAGTACGGACTTTTACTTTTCCTGCTGTTGGGAGTTTTTATGTGGTGACTCTTGAAGGCAAGCGTACAACAGGGATTTTTCTCTCGGAAACTCTTGTACAACACGTCGGTCCACGGTTGCCTCAGTTTGTTTGAACCCGTCAAAGGAACAATCTTTTGCCATTTCTTTCTATTTACTGTTATTCCGAACCTTTTAGATACTACTGGCAACTTCCGCCAATGTGTTTTGGTGCCTGTGTTTTTATTGACATCTTGTGCTCCTCTTTGCAAATTCTGTTCTTCAGTTTCTGCCTCATTCTTGTCTATGTCCTCATCTGATAACTGGTCATCTTCAAGTCCACTCTGAGAAGACATCCTTTGTTGTTTGTCTTCTGCCTCATTCTTGTCTATGTCCTCATCTGATAACTGGTCATCTTCAAGTCCACTCTGAGAAGACATCCTTTGTTGTTTGTCTTCTGCCTCATTCTTGTCTATGTCCTCATCTGATAACTGGTCATCTTCAAGTCCACTCTGAGAAGACATCCTTTGTTGTTTGTCTTCTGCCTCATTCTTGTCTATGTCCTCATCTGATAACTGGTCATCTTCAAGTCCACTCTGAGAAGACATCCTTTGTTGTTTGTCTTCTGCCTCATTCTTGTCTATGTCCTCATCTGATACCTTATGCTGAATCATGCTCAGAGGCAAGTCCTTTGAAAGACAGTCTTCAGAACATTCCCCTCCAACATCTCTCTCGTTTTGATTTTCCTCCATTACCTGAACTTCCTTCTGCTCTAATGATTTTTGACGTTTATTGATCAAATCCCTCAATCCTTTTCGATTGTTGGTCCATACAACCCACAGCCAATGACGGTGTTTCTTATCATCATGACCAAAAAGGATTATAGCGAGTTCCGACCAAATATATGAAGAATGTCCTGTATCTCTTTTGGTAATGTGAACACTCTTCAGTCCTCGGACCAATGCTTCCATTCCACCAGCCATTGCCCATAAGTCCTTCCTCTGGGCCCTCTTTCCTTTTTTAACTCTTCCCATTATTTTCAAACTTCCTCTAACCTAAAGGAGGAAAGGCAAAGCGAAATAGTTTTTCTCAATATAAAAAGATAAAAAGTAAACTTTTTAGAAGCGCATATAATAAAAAACTGTGTTCAAATATGTAACACTAAGTTGGGTTTTTGTTTTGGTTTGCAAAAATAGTCATTTGTCATTTTAAAATGTGTAATATTACATCACAGGAACAAATAACATTTGTTTGTAGTTTTAATTCAGTAACATTTCAGTTGATCAAATACTAACTAACTTCAGCTAGGTTAATACAAATTAAAAAACATACTTTTTTTTATTTAATCTGAATGATGGCTTGTTAAAGTATAAGAAACATGTTTTGGTTAAGCTCAGGATATTATGTTTAAATAATTCCACCCTGTTACTGTGAAAAATAGTAACAGGGTAGACGGTAACAAGGTGGACATTTCATGCTAAACTTGGCTATTGCTACATGTGTGATGATAATCAAGCTAGCACTTGTGACAACAGAGAAAGATATTTGATAGATATATTCACATTTTTTTCTAAATGTAAACATTTTGATCAGTTTCCACACAAAATGAGCATAACAGGGTGGACATGTAAAATGTATCCTTCTTCTTGAGTCATACAAATAGTAGAATAGTAAAGGGGCGTGTCCAGAGGGATTCAAATCAGAGTAACAGGGGGGACATTAAAACAGGGGACACACACTTTAAAAAAAAATTAAATCAAGAAAATTGAATTAACAACAATTTAAATTTGGTGAGGAATATTAATAAAAGGGTTATACAATAGTGACAAAAATGTAGAATTTGATTTCTTTGTTTATATCTGTTAGAGAAGTTGAGCAAACATGATTTGGGACACAACAATTTGGCCTACTTGTGCTAAAATCAGACTAATTATTTAGCATTTTGAATATCCTGGGTAAATAACATTGATGTTTTATAGTAGAGGGTAATAAAAATGTAAAACCAAGCTTTTAAAAATAAGCATTTGACCTTTTAAATGCAAAATATATGATATAATGTGTTGGGGACCTAACCACCAGGAGACTATTGATGTGTGTAGTGAGTGTGGGAGACATATACTGTATAATAGTGACGCTATTGAAGATTGTACCATATTTATTGAAGATTTTACACTATAAATATTCACCAAAATTATTCAAAAGCAAATTCATCCAAACTCTTTGCTGTAGTCCAACCACCAGGAGACTATTGATGTGTGTAGTGAGTGTGGGAGACATATACTGTATAATAGTGACGCTATTGAAGATTATACCATATTTATTGAAGATTTTACACTATAAATATTCACCAAAATTATTCAAAAGCACATTCTTCCAAACTCTCTGCTGTAGTCCAACCACCAGGAGACTATTGATGTGTGTAGTGAGTTTGGTAGCACTCCACTGTATAATAGTGACGCTAGTGAATATTATTGAATATTATTGTATTCTCTTTTTTCGGAGTTGCACTTTGCAGACGGTCCCTGAGCACTCATTCCTTTTCCGGCTGCAGATAGAGACCAATGTAATTTGTCCAGTTTTGAGGACGGCGCATATTGGCTTTTTTTTTTATCAACATGTGATTGTAGTTCG